GATAGAAGCAACTTCAATAAAATCGGCAACCGTCAAAACATTACAAAGTATCATTACAAACCGTGCATAAGCCAACCAAGGCTATAACACACTGAGAGGCGCATCCTAAGATGACCTAAATCACACAAACATAGACTACTCGGGCAAGTTCAAAAACCTGAAAACCCCAACAGCTAACCCTCAGCACAACAACTGACCACACTACAAGGACCAAAACAAACACTAACAACCAACAGAAAAATAAAACAAAACCAACAGGAAGAAACAAAACCAACAGCACTACAACCAACAGAAAAAACAAAACCAAAAAAACTACAAGCTACCAAACCAACACTAAAGCCCCTAAGCAGAAGAAAGAAACTCTTGCCCCTCCAACCAACACTATCACTGAATCTGGTTGTCTCTGCTCTTCAAATAGCCACAAATTTCGAGTGCGCCAAAGCCACCATAGGATATAAGTTGTAAGTTGAATGCGGGCTTCGAATATCTTTGATTTATTTGTTGAGCACACTTGCCACCACCATTGCCTGAAATTCCCGGCCTTCTCTTCTATTCCATCCCAGTCAAAGGAGCCAATTTCCATACTGCTTTAGCTCTTCTACAGTGCAGAAATATGTGCTCAACATTTTCTACTCCTTCACCCCATATTGAACAGATTTCATCCACATCTATGCCTTGAGACTTAAGGTTCATACTAACAGGTAAGCTTCCATTCACACACTTCCATAATAAAATGTTTCAACTTACCTTTTACTCTAAGTTTTCAACTCCTGTCTCTGATCTTCCAGTCCCTATCTGCTGAAGAACTCCTTTCAGGCTGATCAAGTTGAAAAATCTTCCTGCTCAACAACTTAGAGTATGAACTGGCCACAGAGTATTTTCCATTCTTGTCCAAAGTCCATCTCCACTGGTCCTCTTTTGTTGGATTAAGGGAATCCACCTGCAAAATCGATTGACAGTCTTGAGTTGTGAACAACCACTTAACCTTCTCAGAGTCCCATCTGTTGCCCCCCATTACACATCAAATCACTAACCCTGCAACTCTCAACTTCACCACAATTTGTAATCACATGCCTGCACATGTTGCAAGTAGGGATCCACCCAATGTCAGAGATTAAAATATCCATCCCATTTTTGATTTCCCTCCTCATTGCGTTGGCAAACTCTGGGATACACTCCACCCAATTATTCCAGAGCCAAGAGGCTATTGCCTTTTTGGTATCTTCAAATATAGAAGAGTCTGGGAAATATCTAGATTTTAGCACTTGACTGACAAGCAATTGTAGTTGGGTGGTAATCCTCCACAACTGTTTGATAATCACTGCCTCATTGAAAAATTGCACATCAGTGAACCCCAGACCCCTTTTTTGCTTTGGTTGAGTGAGTATACTCCATCTCTTCCAGTGATTACCTCTATCTTGCTCTGAACCTTTACTCCACCAAAATGAGGCAGTAAGCTGAAGTATCTGTTTGCAAATTCCCACAGGCAGCCTAAAGCATGACATGGAAAAAATAGGAAGAGAATTGATCAAAGCCTTTACAACACCTCTTTCCCAACTGGAGAGAGATACATGTTCTTCAAATTAATCATCTTATTCCTCACAGCTTGCAAGATATAATCAAAGGCTTCTTTTTTGGACTTACCAATCCCTAGTGGTAGTCCCAAGTACCTTGTAGACCTGTGCACTTGGACCCCATTCAACAGATGGCAAATAAACTGCTTCACATTATCCCCATTGTTTATGTTGAAAAAAAACAGAATGTTTGGATAGGTTGACCTTCTGACCAGAGAAAGCCATATAGTTTGCCAGAATATTTCTCAATAAGACAGCTTAGCTCTGCTCGTCTTTACAAAAGACCAACAGATCATCTGCAAACAACAGATGGGTCAAGGTAGGTCCCCCTCTAGCAGTCTAATGCCTAAAAATGAACCATTACCAACATCCACTTTAATCATTGAAGATAAAACTTCAGAAATTATTAGGAACAGATAAAGGGACAAGGGATCCCCTTATCTTAATCCTCTTTAAGCCTTCATATACCCTGTAACTCTACCATTCAACAAGAAAGCAAAAGTGGAGGAAGTAACACAAGCCATAATCCATTTCCTGAATTTCAAGTCAAAACCCATTTTAGCTATTGTGTTGTTCAACCCAGCCCACTCCACTCTATCATAGGCCTTCATCATATCAAATTTTAAAGCCATAAACCAGTGCTTGCCTGATCTATGCCGGTTACGAAAGTGATAGGATTCATGGGCAATTATTACATTGTCTAGGAGATGCCTTCCAGGAATAAAGGCAGACTGTGCTGTACTAATACAAGCTCCCAAGCAGGTTTTCAGTCTAGATGCCAACACTTTAGATATGATTGTATAAACCACTGAACAGAGACTTATAGGTCTATATTGATTCAGAGATACTGAATTCAAACACTTAGGAATAAGGCATACCAGAGTGTGAATCCAATACTGGAGCATCTGCCCTAAATCAAAGAAGCTCTGAATGGCTGTGCACACTTTCAGCTTGATGATGGGCCAATAATGTTGGTAAAATAAGGAAGTAAAGCCCTCTTTCCCTGGAGCTTTTAGAGGGTTCATCTGGAACAAAATTCTCTGAATTTCCTCTTCTCCTACTGAGGCTGTGAGTTTTTCATTCAAGGCCATCGATGCTCTTTTAAGCATTATTTAGAGGGATAAAAAAACCTTTATCTGGGGTGATATGATTAGGAATGTGTTGAAGAACCTCTGCACCCCCCCTCCCCCCACACAGACCCTTTTGAAGAGAATAAGTCTATAGAAGTTGAACACATGAGTTCCAATAGCCTTCTCATCCTCCAACACCACATTCTCCTCAACCAGCCTTGTAATGGCATTTCTTTTCCTTCTTTGAATGGTGTAGGCATGAAAATTTTGTATTCAACTCTCCCTACTTTAACCACTACAGTCTTGACTTCTGAAGCCAGTATTGCTCCTTAGAGCATTGAGCTACTTCCAATTCCCTCTTAATAGATTCCCATTCCTGCAAATTCTTCCTCTCTCCAAGTTCTCTCATTTCTTCTAGTTGAAGGGTAAGTCTCAGAATCTTATCTTTACTTTGAGATCTGAATAATTTGCTCCACTGAGACAAGGCCATCCTAGTATGTTTGTTGCTTCAGAGTAAACATTGGAGTACCTGTTTGATTGAAGTTCCAAGCCTTTTCAATCACTTCTTGACAGCCATCCATTATGATCCACCTTTTGTCAAATGCAAATCTCCTGCCCCCAACTGACTTGTGGCTCTCTGACTCCAGAATAAGCATGCCATGATCAGGTGATGATTTAAAAATGTTCAAGACTTTAGCCCTAGGGTGATCAGCAATCCATTTCAGTGAACCATAAGCCTTATCCAGATTCTCCTCAACATAACCCTCTTCCTCTCTATTATTTGCCCATGTATACTGATATCCCAACATTTTGACTTCAGACATGCCCATCCTTGCAATTATATATTGGATTCTATAAAGCTCCTGTCAGATCTCTCTCTACCCCCTTTCTTCTTCTCTCTGCTCCCAGTATCGTTCCAATCTCCCACAACGCACCATTTCTGACCCCAGCTTGATCTATCATCTTCCAATAACTGCCACTGGATTTGCCTTTGATACTTACCAGAGTTCATATAGACAAACACTAGCCAGGTTCAAGCCCCTACTCCCTTTTGAACTCCACCTGCAAATTAAATACACACAGCTTGATCTGACAAATGATAGCATCAGCAGACCATATAAGAATTAAACCTCCTCTAGTCCCAGAAGGCTCCACCACTATACATCTGCCTCCATACCCCAGCTTATAAAAAACAGAAAGAGAAAATGATTTTTGTTTTTTTACTTCGGATAAAAAGATGAAAATTGGGTGGTGAGTAGCAATTACTTCTCAAATTTGGGGAACCGTAGAGGGTCCACCCAGAGTTCTAAGGTTCCACACCATAGCTCTCATGGTTCACTTGGGAGCCACTTTTGGCTGGCTGCCTCTACCCTTCTGTCAATGGCCTTGGATTTCTTAAAACCCTTGTTAGGCTTCATCTCATTCTGTTCCCCTTCTTGCTCCTCTTGATCCCCCCTCCTAATTATCTTAATTCCTGCCAAGTTGTCAGCAGTACCATTGTTCTCCTGCTTCCTTACTAATCTGCCCTCCTTCTTCACCACTCTTTTCCATGTTCTGCTCTTTTTGCTAGCTTCTTGTGCCTCCTTCACAAGTTGTTTCCCCGCTGCACTAAGCTCAAGCTCCATGCCTAAAGCTGTGAACTCATCAGTAGGCTTCTCAATTTCATCTACACCTCAATGGACATTCACATTCAGAGTTGCCTTTTCTACTTGATCCCCTATATTCTCATCTTGTCTGACAGAGTCTGAAGAAGCCACTAGACAAAAGCTCTGCTCAGGCACAACTATCATCTCTCTTTTATGGGTGTCCTTGACCACCCTTTTCATCGTCTTCCTCCCTGCCATGGTCCTCAATTCCTTCAGCTGAGGCACTGGCATGCTGCTGGGTATTATCTTGTTCAGATTGGCTACTCTGCCCAAAGGAATAAGACCATTGTCCTATTTCCTCTGCTTTAATCCATTCCCCGTATTCCCTCTCTCTAATTCTTTAATTAGCAATATCACTCACCTTCTTAGAATATCCCCTGTCCAGATGGCCTATTTTGCCACAATAGAAATAGACATTGACCAATCTCTCATATTTGAAACTGGCTACTACAATCTGGCCTCCTAACCGAATTTGGCCCACCTAGGTGTTGACGAACGTTTTCAGTCAATGGTTAAAATGATAGGTAATGAAAATACAGGACCTAAAACAAGTAAATATA